GCTAACAACAGGGAATAACTTGCCATTCATAGATGAATGAAAAAGAGAAACAAATTAATAGAGAATTAAATTGAAATAAGAAAAACAATCCGCAGAGCTCTGTTGCCATGTCAGATTCACCTGCGGGTGCCAAGAGAAAACATGCGGGCAGTCCCTGGGAGGTTTGTCATTTCTGATTTCAGGTGACCTTTTGCGCAACTTGGTGGAAACTCCAAAACTGTTCAAGGATGATTTTTTCCCAAAGTCATGACTCTTTGTAACATGGTAACTCCAAATCTGAGAGGGCTTACATGTAATGTGTAATAGGTAACTATTCCAAAGAAGTCCCCCATGGGTCCAGCAGGGAAAGACATTGGTTTGTTCAAACTTATGGGAGACCCCTCTGGCGGCAGGTGGGCAAAGAATCCACACCTTGGGGCAGCACAGCAAGCCATTTTATAATCAAAGCCATCACGTTCATCATTCAGATTCCTCTCTAGTGTGTACTGTTACCTTGATTAAGAGTGACGACTACGAGCCTGACTCGGTGGCTCAGCCTGTAATCCCGTGCCTTTGGGAGGCTGAGGTGAGTGGATTGCTTGAGCCCGCGGGTTCGAGACCCGCCTGGGCAACTTGGCGAGACCTCATCTCTACAATAAATCAAAAAATCAGTGGGGCATGGTAGCGCGTGCCTGTAATTCCAGCTACTTGGAAGGCTGAGGCGGAAGGATCGCCAGAGCCCAGCAGGTCGAGGCTGCGGTGGCCGGAAGCGGCCACTGCACTCCAGTCTGGGCGACAGAGTGAGACTCCAACTCAAAAAAAAAAAAAAAAAAAAAAGAGTGACGACTACATTGTTTTCAGCTTTGCTTGGTCTCCTGCGTCCCCTGACTCATTACTGGGAATATGCATACCCCTCAGAGGTCACTCCCTGAGGGAGAGGGCAGAAAGCAGCCAGGTATAGGGGAAATGGTCTGTGTCCGGACAATACCTCACACTCTTAAACAAACATAACATGAACACATCAAAGATTTTATTAAGCCCATTAACTAAATGAGGGAAGATGTTACGATTGATTCAAAGGAGAATCCAAGCAAGAGATACATTTATAAATCGACTATTTCAATGAATTTGCAAATAGATACAAAACTGGCTTTTCGGGGAGAAGAGTTGTCCTTCAAAATGACAGAATTTATTTGTATGTAAATAGACAAGAATCATTTGCATTGCTGTCAGATTTCTACAGATGAACCTTAATCTTTACAGGTCTGTAAAATGGACAATCAAAACTAGAGTCCTATATAGATGCAGAGCCTGTGGGGTCAGAGGAACTTCAGAGGTTCCAGCATTTCGATGAAAATAAATACCCAATCATTTCCTTTGCTTATTCCAAAGTCTTGACTTCTTTTTTCACCTGGTAAATGCATGCATGTATGTGTTTGTCTAAAATTGAGTGAATTGCTCTGACCAGTACTAAAGCAAGGGTTAAAATGATGCTTATATTCTTCAGAATTCTCAGAGAATAAAACTCTTTTGAAATGAAAGTAAACTGAATGAGAAGAAGTTCTGTTTTTCACATCTGCAAAACAGGCACAGTTCTCAGAAACGGAATTTCATATTTATAGGTGGAAAATATTTCTAATGATAAAAAATTAGTCTATTTTAAAGTAGCTCAATCTGCATTAAAAAAGAAAACCTGAAGTACTCTTTTCAAAAAGGACTTAAAGAGTTATCCTCTGGATCATTAGTTCTAAATGTCACGAGTACAAAAGATTGACTTGGAGTGCTTATTTAATATGTGTGCTGCTGGACCCCAATTCTAGTGGTTCTCGAACTTCAGTGAACATAATTATCTCCTGAAGGTTGCAATAATGCACATTCCCAGGCCCTGACCTTAGAAGTTTGGACAAGTCTGAGTTGGGCTCAGGAGTTTACACTTTTAAAAGAAATTATTTCCCCAAATGATTCAGCAATAAGTAAACTGAAGATTTTCTCTTTGGAATCATTGTTTTACAAGTGAAATATTCTTCAGCTCTTTAACCCTTCAGTGATCATTCTTCTGAATTCCTGCAACACTAGGCTAACATCTTTAATAGCAATAAAGTATAGTCATAGAAGTCATATGGCAAGTGGAAATAATATTGGTCTCTCTCAGAATGTGTGTCGACTTCTTCTACTTGGTCCAACCTGGTACACAGCTTGTATGCTAGGATTTTGTTGAGACCCAAAGTGCTTTACTTTCTATCATATAAGAGAGCAACAAGAAACTGAAGCCTAAACACAGGTTTACAGCAAGTAGTCTTTGTTCTGGCTTCAATACAATGAAATAGATTCACCTTAATGAAAGTTTTGTCCCTGACAACAGGCTTTGTTCAATTATTCATAGATTTATTTGTTTATTTATTTAACATGTCTTATCCTAAGAAAGCTTTGGTACCAACCATGCTTGACACAGTATGAGTGCTAGGAATTGTAAATGAGTTGCATTAATATTAACCGTCTTGCCCAGTTACACTAAAATAGGTGATTTGGGCATTTGTATCTAAATTGTCTAAAAATAACTCCTTCTTTTATAAAATATGATGAATATACCACAGAGGCATGGTTTCAAGTATACAGATTTTTCTCACGAACAAAGGGTCTTCCTTAGTTATTAAGGATGTGTGCTTGATTTCCCTGAATTTTAGAAAGAGTAATGATATTACCAATGATTGAGAATGTCATAAATATAAAGAAGTTTTAGTCTGCCTTGAAATTATATTTCTTCCTTAAAATGAAATTACTTTAGTGCAATTTTATTTCATATTATGCCACTGGAAATGATATTTTTCCTTGGGTTAGAATATTAAGCTTAAATGAAAGTGTACTTAGCTGTTTTTTCATGCAAAGCACTAGATGTACCCTCACAAATAAGACAATGAATGGACCACTTCTATTCAATATAGCACTGGAAGTCCTAGCCAGAGCAAGTAGGCAAGAGAAATAAATTAGAGGTATGCAAATAGGAAAAAAAGAAGTTATCTCTCTTTGCAGATTACATGATTCTATACCTAGAAAACCATATAGGTTCTACCAAAAACCTAGCACTGATAAACAACTTTGGTTGGTAAAGTCTCAGAATTCAAAATTAATAAGTAAAAATCAGTTGCATTTCAATGCACCAATAACAAGCTGGCTGAGGACCAAATCAAAAACACAATTCCATTCACAATAGCCACACCAAAAAACAAAACCAAAACCCTCAGTATCATTTAACCAAGAGGTGAAAGATCTTTACAATGAAAACTACAAAATACTGCTCAAAGAAATGAAAGACAACAAAAACAAATGAAAGAACATCCCATCCTCATGGATTGGAAGAATCAGTATCGTCAAAATGTTCATATTACTCAAAGCAATGAACAGATTCAACACAATCCCTGTCAAACTACCAGCAACATTTTTCATAGACCTAGAAATTATAATACTTAAATTCATATGAAAGCAAAATGCCCAAATAGCTAAAGAATCCTTTCCAAAAAGAACAAAGCTGGTGACTTCAAACTCCTAGACTTCAAACTGTACTACAAGGCTACAATAAGCAAAACAGCATGGTACTGGCACAAAACTAGACACCTAGACCTATGGAACAGGATAGAGAACTAGAAATAAAATCAGACTTACAACCAATTAATCTTTGACAAAGCTGCTAAAAACAAATGCTTGGGAAAGGAAAACCTATTTAGCAAATGGAGCTGGAAAAACTGGCTTATCACATGCAGAAGAGTAAAACTGGGCCCTTACCTATCACTATATATAAAATTTAACTCAAAATGCATCAAGAACTTAAATGTGAAACCTCAAACTATAAAAATCTTAGGCAAAAACCTAGGGAACACCCCTCTGGACTTTAGCCTGGACAATGAATTCATGGCCAAGTCCTCAAAAGCAAATGCAGCAAAACTAAAATTGACAGATGGGAACTTATCAAGCTAAAAAGCATCTGCACAGCAAAAGAAACCAAGATCATAAAAAACTAACCCACAGAATGGAAGAAAATATTTGAAACTATGCATCTGAGAAGGTCTAATATTCAGAATCTATAAGGAACTCAAATGAATCAACAGGAAAAAAGCAAACAACTCCATTAAAAAGTAGGCAAAGGAGGTAAACAGATACTTCTCAAAAGAAGATACACAAGCATCTAACAAACATGAAAAAATGGTCAGCATCACTAATCATTATAGAAATGCAAATCAAAACTACAATGAGATATCTCACACAGTCAGGATGACTATTATTAAAAAAATCAAAAAACAGCAGATTTTGGCGAGGCTGTGGAAAAAAGGGAACTCTTCTACACTGTTGGTGGTAATATAAGCTAGTTCATCCTCTGTGGAAAGCAGTTTGGAGATTTCTCAAAGAAATAAAAAATAGAGTTACCATTCAACCCAACAATCCCACTTCTGGGAATATACCCAAAGGAACATAAATCATTCTACCAAAAAGAAACCTGCACTTGTATGTTTATTGCAGCACTAGTCACAATAGTAGAAATATGGAACGAACCCAGAAGCCCATGGATGGTGGATTGGATAAAGAAAATGTGGTACATATACAATATGGAATATTACGCAGCCATAAAGAAGAACACAATCATGTCCTTTACAGCAACATGGATGTAGCTGGAGACCATCACTCATAAGTGGGCACTAAACACTGGGCGTACACAGGCACAAGGATGGGAACCACAAACATTGGGCACTGCTAAAGGAGTGAGGGAGAGAGAGTGGGCAGTGGATAAGGGGTACAACACCACCATCAAGCACCATGCTCACTACAGGGGGAAGATCATCAGAAGCACAAGCCTCAACTCTATACAATGTACTTATGTGACAAATCCTCACATGTATCCCATGATTCAAAAACAAACCAAAAAAAAAAAAAGATGATGAATAGAGAACTCACACTTGTGAAATGCATAGCACTAAGACTTTGTGGAATTGCTTAGAATTAAACTCATATTCTGTTCAACTTCCCTGTAGGGATTCTAAGCATGATTGAGCGAGGACTTATCCCACCAGCAGCAAGGATTACCTTCCAGAACCCACCCATCAGACCCAGAGCTGTTCCACTGCACAACGTTGGCGAAGCCCGTAAGATACCAGCTGTGGGTAAGACACTCTTGCCTCTGTGGTTAGGGTGGGGACACACAGAAATTCCCTTCTCCCTAGACCTAGCCTTCTTGTCGTCAACTGTTATCCTCAATAACAGGACAAGATGAATGTCATTGTCCTGAGTTTCACTTTACTGAATAAAGCAACTTCAGCCATCTTCGTAAGTCACCTATTGAGAGTCTATGCTGTGTGTGTGTCAGAGGACTGGTTTTTCAAGGGACTTGCTATTTGGTTGGGGAAGCAAGACAGATATAATAAATATAAATAGTACAAAGCAACATGGAATAAAAGCCAGATGGATGTTTAAGTCCATTGCTGTAGGGGCTCAGAGGAATGAAGGCGTGATCACGGAAGGAGGTTTCAAAGAGGAGACTGGGAGGAACAGACGTTCTAGAAAAGCACCCACCTAGGATCGCCTGACAAGGTTTATTCTCTCTGGGCCTCAGCTTTCCAGTCATAAAGTGAGAGGTTTGACTAAAGTAATTCATCTCTTCAGTAAGTATTTGTTGAATGCTTGGTTTATTCAGAGTAGGGACCCAGCCCAGCAGAGAGTAAGTCAGATGACATTTCTGTTCTTAGATACTAAGTGGGCAAATAAGAGAGAATTTCAACTGGTGGTAAGTGCTGGAAATAAAAACAGTACAGGTAAGAAAGGGATACAGAGGGACTGCTTTGCTTATGAAAGAAGGGTCAGGGAATATACCTCAGAAGAGGCACAACGAGGTTTGAGCTGAGACCATGTGGAGAGAGCCAGTCATGTAAAGATCCAGGAAGAGAATTTCAGATACATGACAGCACGTGGCACAAAGGTCCTGAGGACTAAAGAGGGAAAGGGCAAGGCCAGACCATAAGCAAGGGAGAGAAAGGGATGGGATGTGGGGAGGCAGGGAGGCTGCCCTGGTGGAGGCTGGAGCAGAGACTCTGAGTTGTCCTTGATAGTCACTCTTCCCCACTGTCAGGTTAACAGAGCAGTGGGTGGGCACATGTCGGCTTGGCCAAAGGCAACATTTCCAGCCTTCCCTATAGCTAGGCATGTCATGTGATCAGGCTGTGGATAACGAGGATATAAGGAGACGTGGAGAAGGAAAGTTCTGGCATAACCTCTCTTCTTCCTTGCCTCCCTCTAGCTAGTTGGGATTCATTTACCTATGGTGATGAGAGCTGGGCAGGCACTGTGGAGCCAGAGATGGAATTCCATGCTGAGTCTGGCAGAGCTGCCCTGTCAGCCAGGACTGTTTTCCTTTGGACTGAGAGAGAAAAAAATTGAATTTATTTACATCTCACTTTGTGTATTTTAAGATCTTTCTTTTTAAACATCTTAGACTACACCAGAACCAGCATGGCAGTCTTCCAAGCCACGGTGAGGAGTTGGATTTAATCCTGATGGCAGAGAGAGTTCACGGAAATGTTTAACAGGAGAATGAAGTGATCTGAGTTATGTTTTTTTCCTGAGTTGGAGTCTCACTCTGTTGCCCAGACTGGAGTGCAGTGGCCGCTCCTGGCCACCGCAGCCTCGACCTGCTGGGCTCCGGCGATCCTTCTGCCTCAGCCTTCCAAGTAGCCGGAATTACAGGCATGTGCTACCACCCGGTTGATTTTTTTTTTTTATTTATTTATTGTAGAGATGAGGTCTTGCTGCCCAGGCGGGTCTCGAACCGGCGGGCTCAGGCAATTCACTCACCTCAGCCTCCCAAAGGCACGGGATTACAGGCTGAGCCACTGAGCCCAACTGAGTTATGTTTTAATAAGATCATTCTGTGACAGGTGCTGTGGCTCACACCTGTAGCCCCAGCACTTTGGGAGGTCAAGGCAAGAGGATTGCTTGAGGCCAGGAGTACAAGACCAGCCTGGGCAGCATAGCAAAACCCCATCTCTATAAAAATTTTAAAAATTAGTTGGTCATGGTGGCATGTGCCTGTAGTCCCAGCTACTCAGGAGTAGCTTGAGCCCAGATATTGGAGGCTGCAGTGAGCCATGATGTCACCACTGCATTCCAGCCTGGGTGGTGGAGTTAGGCCTGGTCTCAAAAATAATAATAGAAAAAGAACATCTGGCTGCTTTGCAGATAATGAATCACAGGGGAGCACGAGAGAGAGCCAGAAGACGATTAAGTGGCTGTTGCAGTAGACCAGCTTAGAGTTGGTGGTGGGTATGAGGTGAAGTGTCAGAGGAGACGAGACGTGGGCAAGTCCAGGCTGTGTTGTGGTAGAGCTGTGAAGTCTGGCTGGTGGGTGGAGACTTGAGTAGAGGCATCGAGGATGAGTGTGCACATGTAGGTACGAATGTGTCCATTCCACTGCGGATGGGGAATTCCAGTGCTGTGTACTGCAGGCCCTTTAGGAGCAATACTACTATGAATGTGAACATTCCTGTGTGTATAATGCACATATGTATGCATTTCTGTTGCATATATGTCACAAGGAGAACTGTTGAATCATAGGGTATACGTGTGCTCGGATTTCATAGATACTACCAGACAGTTTTCCAAAATGGTTATACTGATTTGTTTTCCTACTAGCTGTATATGAGAGTTCCAGAATGTTTATCTCTGGCAACACTTGATATTTCCGTTTTTAAAACTTTACCCATCCTAGAAGTTTGTTGTGCTACCTCTTTGTGGGTTTAATTTCTATTTCCCTGATGATTAATAAAATGGAGCAAGTTTTTTGGATGAGTGTATTGGTCACTTGAGTATCCTCTCTTGTAAAGTAATTTAAGACTTTTACCTTTTTAAAAATTGGGTTGTCTTTCTCTTTATTAGTGATGTACAGGAATTATCTATATATTCTGGATACTAATACTGTATCAGTTATATGTATTACAAATAATTTTTCCTACCTATAGCTTGATACTTCACTCACTGACTGGTGTTTTTTTAAATTAAAATTTTGATTTTGAGGTAATTGTAGAGTCACACGCAGTTGTGAGAAATGACACAGAGAGATCTCACGTATTCCACACACAGTTTTCCCCACTATAGCATGTTGCAGCACTGTGGTACAGTGTCACAACCAGGACACTGACATGGCAGAGACAGAGAACAAGGACTCCTCATGTTGTCCTTTTATAGTCATGCCAGCTTTCCCCCAGCTTACACCCCTAACTCCTGCAACAAATACTCTGTTCTCCATTTCTATAATTTTGTCACCTCAAGTATGTTATATGAATGGAATCATACAGTGATTATGAGGATTGGCTTTTTTACTCAGAATAATTCTCTAGAGAGTCATCTAAGTTTTGCTTATATCAACAGTTTCTTCCCTTTTATTGCTGGGCAGAATTTCATGTTGGAATATACCACAGTTGTTAAAGCATTCACATGTTGAAGGACATACGAGCTGTTTCCAGTTTGGGGCTACCGTTAACAGAACTGCTATGCACATTTGTAAACAGGTTTTGTATGAACATGTGTTTTCATTTCTTTAGGACAGGTGCCAAGGAGTGTAATTGCTAGATCTTACACTAGTTGCATGTCTGTCTCCTCTACATGCATTTAAGATCATATCAGACTGTTATAATTTTTTGTTTCAACCATCAAATATAATTTAAAAACTCAGGAGAAGAGGAAAGTTCATCACTTTTACTCACATTTTTGCTTACCATGTTCCTTCTTCCTTTTTTGTGTTCCCAGGCTGCTGCTTTATCATTTGGTTTATGTTTTGAGAAGTCCTTCCACCACCATTTGGGAGTCCGTAGGCTATTGATAAGTCACCATCATCTTCCTTCTTTACAGAATGTCTCAATTCCCCTTTTATTCCTAAAGAATCTTTTCACTGGCTGTAGGATTCTGAGTTGATAGTTCTTTTCTTTCCGCACTTGAAAAAAAGTTGTGTTCTCTTTTCCTGGCCTCCATGTTTTCTAGTGAGAAAATTGGTACTATTTCTTTCTTAATATTTGGAAGAATTTACCAGTGAAGACCTGTAGTTTTCTTTGAGAGTAGGATTAGAGTTGTGGATTTAATTTGTTTAATAGATATGGGACTATTCTGATTGTCTATTTGTCTATATCAGTTTAAGTTAACTTTGTCCAAAGAATTTGTCCATTTAATCTAAATTTTCTAATTCATTGTAATACGATTATTTACAGTATTTTTTTGTGTGTAATGTCTGTAGGATTGGTGATTTGCTTTTTCATTCCTGATGGTGGTACTTCTGCCTTTCTTTTCTTTCTTGGTCAGTATTCCTAAGTGTTTATTAATTTTATTAATACTTTATTTTAAAAATTTTTATTTTAAAGATGTGGGGTACAATTCAGGATTAGGTAGATAAGTGGTCACCATACAGGTAAAGTTTGGGCCTCCTTTTGGTCCCCACTTTACCTGGTTTGAGGTCAGCTACCTTATTGATGTTATGTGTCCCCTCTCCCTCCCCTGCCAGTTTCTAGCTACTACCAATCCTTTTCTTATAGCATTATGATTAATGTTCAGGATCTGCTTATGAGTGAGAACATGTGGTACTCGGTTCTTTGTTTCTGTGATAGATCACTGAGTATTATGGTCTCTAAATCTATCCAAGTTGCTGTGAAGTACATAATTTTGTCCTTCTTTGTGGCTGTGCAATACTCCACTGTGTATATGTACCACATTTTTTTATCCAGTCCACTTTTGATGGGCAGCATGGTTGGTTCCATGTTTTTGCTATTGTAAATAATGCTGCAATAAACATGTGTGTGCAGGTATCTTTTTTGCAGAATGATTTAAGTTCCTGCAAGTATATTCCCAGAAGGGAGATTGCTGGGTCGTATGGAAGACTGATTATTAGATGTTTTATGAATTGCTGCACTGTTTTCTACAGAGGTTGTACTAATTTACACTCCCACCAACAGTGTAGAAGCATTCCCTTTTCTCCACATCCTCTCCAGCATCTGTTGTGTTTTGAGTTGCTGATGATGGCCATCCTGACTGGAGTTAGGTGGTATCTCAGTGTGGTTTTGATTTGCATTTATCTTATGATTAGTGAAGCTGAACATTTTTCCATGTATCTGTTGGCTGCTCATATGTCTTCTTTTGA